TCTATCAGTCACTTTGAACCGTGAGCCGATCATGTCAGCAGCTCATGAGCATAAAAATCTAAAATCTAAGTGTTGATGGCAATTGCCTTTTTTATATTAAAAAATATGTTTGTTAAGATAAAATGTGAGCGTTTGAAAAAAATACAAAGACTTTAAGTTTGGGAATAGAGGCTTTGCACCATCACGTGATGGCAGCCATGACAGGAAGCAGGAAAAATTGAATCTAGTCGAATCTGATTTACATGAGAAAGAATCCTATTTTCCTGGGGGAAAAGACTGTATTGTTGTGCTTCCTGTCATGGCTGCCATCATGTGATGATGTAAAGCCTATAAAGCTACAAAGCTAGATTACAAAAATCCATGCAAAACTCTCTAACTTTCAAATTCCTACTATCGATCATTGATCTTTAAAATCGCTTTCAGAAGCTTTATGCTGTTTAAATGAAAAAGATCTATTTACCAGATTTAAAAATCTCACATTATAAAAGAGGTCTTACATTAAGGTTAAGTTATCGAAATTTCCGAGGATACTAGACCGTGGTCAGACAAGTYCCCGACTAGCACATGACATGCAGGAAATTCTATTCTAGAAAGTCACTGAATCGTTCAATCATTTATTCCTGCAAAGCAAATATCAATTTTTTAAACCCTAAAAAAATATCTAAAAATATCAAAATCATGGACAATTGGCAACTATTCATTACCTTTTCAGATAATTCTTGGCAAGGCAATACTTTTCTTTTCGCTTTAATTATTGCGGTTTATTTGTTTTGCTTCCTTTTTTCGCTTCAATAAATGCTTTAGCTTGAATTCCGAAAACTGTTGACATATAATAAGTGTCCTTAGAAAACAACAGTCACGCGCTCAGTTTGCACCATATTTAAATCGAATTTTTCCGGGATACTGTCATAACTTCTTTAAAGTTGTTGCAGCAAGTCGCTCCGAGGTAAAGCATGAAAATTTTGAAAATTTTTTTTTCGGCTGCTGTATTGCAGTTCTATACAACTGCTGCTTCSCCGGTGAAAAATGCAGCCAGTCAGTGCGATCCAAGTAGATGTAAACTGCCTGACTGTTTCTGCAGTGGAACCAAGATCCCTGGGGACCTTGAAGCGAAGTCTGTCCCTCAAATGATCATGATGTCGTTTGATGATGCCGTAAACGAACAAGTTTATCCCTACGAAACGTCTTTATTCGATGGTGAGTTGCATAATCCGAACGATTGTCCCATGACTGGAACCTTCTTTGTTTCTCACCAATGGACTAACTACCAGATGGTACAGACTTTGTACCACAACAGACATGAGATTGCAGACCACTCAATCTCGCACCGTTTACCCATCTCCTGGTGGAAGTATGCTACTTTGAAAGAATGGAAGCAAGAAATAATGGGTATGAGAGAAATTCTCAGAAAATGGGGGAACATTCCTGTAGATGAAGTGAAGGGATTTCGAGCGCCGTTCCTACAGATTGGAGGAAATAACGAGTTTAAAGTCCTGTATGATGGGAAGTTTACCTTCGAGTCTTCTATGCCTACACAAAASTTCATGAATCCACCTATGTGGCCGTATACTCTCGATTATAGCACGACACAGGAATGCGTYATACCTCCGTGTCCCACAGGTATGTGTCATTCAACCCCATATCGTATTTAACAACATACATTTATGGTTTCTGGATTCATATATATTTCATTATATTTTTTTAAAAGTGAACCCGAAAAATTTCCAGAGTAGAACTGACGAGCAACAGAGTTTTTAACTCGTGCGGAAGTTAAGATTTAATCCTGCTAATGGGGGAGGGGGTTAATAACACCCCTACGCAGACGTTTTAGATTCGTCATGCAACGTTTTTTGTCCGTTGCGTGACACGTGTCGACTCTAATATTTAAAGAACGTGCTTTTGACATTCCCCCTCCACCTCCCTCTTAGCAATTATTTTTCCATGCACACGGCACAAGATGAGATTTGGCATTTTTCTTTTTTCTTTTGATAAAATAAAACATATAATAGCATTAATAATAATTACAAAACTAAATAGCGCAGTTAGGCTGTGTGGAGGATGCCACTTTGTTTTACTTCTGTCTAATAGAAGTTCTTTTTCTAGCTTCATACCCAGGCCTGTGGGAGGTTCCAATGATTGACTACAGTGATAAGAATGGCAATCCCTGTAACATGATTGATGGATGTGCAGCGCCATCCTCTAGACAAGAGACCTATGATTTGATTCATAAGAACTTCCTTCGTCACTACAAGAGCAACAGGGCTCCATTTCCGATGTTTATGCATGCAGMCTGGTTTCATAATCATCCTGAAAGACTCGAAGGTAAAGTATATAAGGAACACATACACCATAAGTCTATTTCGTTAAGACAGAGATTTCATAATGACGTCACATCAAAGACAACAACACATCTTAAATCACAATGAAATTTGATTTATGAGCTGGTCAAGGCAAGAACAACTAAATATTACGCTGAATATCTTGAATGAAGAGAATTAAGCTTAAATTTAGCCTAAATTTCTAACATTTTAGCCAATGTAAACAAACCGAGACGTCATTATGAAATAGGGCAATATTCTGCACTTGCAAAAAAAAAGTTTAACTGGATTTGGTTTGTCCCACACAGGTGTAAAAGATTTCATKAGGAACGTTTCATCCCTTGGCAATGTCTACTTCATCACTATTTCCCAGGTCATTGAATGGATGAAACAACCRACGACACTTGACAAGATCAAAGAATTCAGTCCCTGGAAGTGCGACTCACCCCGCCCTCCCGTGTGTTCCAGTTCRGAAGTGAATGTCTGTAGTTACCCAAATCATTACCTGTTTACATGTACCAGGCCATGTCCCAACAACTATCCATGGGTTGGGAACCCTGATGGTAACTGATTGTGAGAGGACTGGGACTTGCAATTGAAAAAACAAACATAATTATACTAACACCTCAGCAGACACCTCCTTCYCTTCTCAACCTCATCCCAAGGGTCCCCAGCTGACTGCAATTCAATCTCCCCCCAACGACCACCACAGTTAAATCAAGGTCAGCCACAAGGACCCTTAGGACGAGGTTGCTCTCTTCTAATTACCATTTTCCATACCTCGGTTTACTTGTTCAAACACAAAACATTCAATCAAGGCTGCAAGGTTCAAATTTTTTCAAATTACTACGGATTTCACCTAAACTGTGRCGATACATCGAAAATTTGTCTCRCTACCACAYCCTAATTYGTCTACTGTCACRCCTACTTTTGTTACATGTATTACAGTRAATACCTTACTGGYAATGTGCTAGATCTRARACAGTGWCAAAAGTAGGCRTGTCTGTGGAYGAATTAGGGTGTGGTAGCRAGACAAATTTTTGACGTGTCTCCACAGTTCGGTGAGATCCGTAGTAATTTGAAAAATCCTTACTACCTTGCAGCCTCGACTGAGTGCTTTGTGTATGACCAGTAAACCAATGTACRGAAAATTGTGAATCTCTTTCTAGTGCCCAGTTCTTATTTGCCATATATTTCAACACAGGAATCCCAATTACTTTMTGGAGAATAAATATGGAATAGCCTGAGGATGAAATTAATGTAATGACAAAATTAATAAGAGTTGAAATAATTTTTTCTAAACAATTCACATAATGCAAGTAAAATTAGTCAATTCAGTCCAAAAAATAAATGGTTAAATAAACCTTTTCAACAAASCAAAATATAAAATAATTCAAAAAAAATATGTGCACTTTTCTCATGCACTGCTACTCCAGACTACCCCTACCCCCGACCACACCTTCCCCAGACTACCCCTACCCCAACCATACCTACCCCTGACTACCCTTACCCCTGACCACACCTACCCCGACGACACCTACCCCAGACTACCCAAACTATCTTTCACCATGGAAACTTGAATCCATTAAAAAATCAAACCAAACTTCACTGTTATCAAATGTTTAATGACCTCTGTGCTGATCTACATCAGGCTATGGCTAACACACGGTTCCTAACACAGATCAAATTAGAATTAAGCTTGTCAGATTTTGTAAAAAAGAAAAAATTAACCATAGAAACCTAAAGGGAAAACCCTCAAATCAATGGCGTAATACAAGAAACCTTAACTTAGGCTGTTTTCAGTGTTTCCCTGCTGCTAGACCTCTTATTTGAGTCTGTAAACAAGGATATTAACCAGTTACWGTCRAAGCACATGAATTGTCYCCCTAAGACTGCATTATTCAGTTCATTATTGGATATTTGGTAGTTTTAAACTTCCATTAATGAAATAAAAAATAAATTCAAATTTCAACAGGCCACAACAAACATGAAAGTCTCTGTGTTTATCAGGTGGTTGTGGCAGATTGGAATGTAGTTTGAGTTTATCATTGATTGGCTAATTTTGCTTTGTTTTGTCAAATCATCATTATGTGCCACTGAGCTCCAGATTTGAATTTATTTTTGAAACATTAACTGAAGATTTAACTGAAGATTGAAATGAAGAATGATTGAAAAAGTCCAATAATGATTAAGGCCCTGTCCACATTATGCCGGATTAATTTGAATCCGAATTTTTATCTATTCCGTTAGGCCCACCCTCCACACTAGTCCAGGCGATTCACCGAAAACGAATTTTTTCGAATATGGTCTCCAGAGTGGAAAAATTTGAAAACGCCAGCTAGCTGTATTAGTGTGGACAAAAAACTTTTTTTTCGGTTTCAGTTTGAAAATTCGGATTCAAATTTATCCGGCATAGTGTGGACGGGGCCTAAGTAATGCAGTCTAAGGGGGCAGGCTTCATTTCCTTTGCTTTATTAGTGTATKTAAAAGAATTTTAAATTTGTGTCAAAAAACAGTAAAAAGAAGCTACTCAATTATTAAACTGTGCAAAATTGGCAAAAAAGTATCAATGAAAGTTCAAACAACAGTGCTGAAGTGTGATTGGTCTGTTCACTTGAGCTTGTCTATCTTTTCTTTGAGTTGGGTCTCGCTGGCACCAACAACTTCACCAACCTTGAATGGAATGGTTATAATATTCTTTGATTAGTACAGTACATGCCGAAAGCTCATAGACAGTAATGACAAAAAATGTCCCCTTYTTTCTCACACAGCAGCATTTGTATTAGCAGCAGCAGCAGTAGTAGTATTAGAAGTAGCAGCAGCAATAATAGTAGTAGCAGTAGCAG